ATGATGGAGTTGAGATAATCTGTCGCCTACCTTTTGCTTGCTTTTTCTTTTTGTAGTCAAAGTCAAGACGTCGCCCCTGCAACTTCTTCCGATGGTGCTGAAAAAAACAAACATTGGGGAGACAAATAAACTTATTGTTTGACAAGAGACATTTGCACATTGCTGTAAGGCTCCTTATATAAATTATGGGTCAAAGTGTGACAATTTTCGAGTTCCTGTTATCTCTGAACATGTCATTTGCCGTTCAAGTATCATTAAGAATGACTTCAACAATTTGTTGGGTAGGTTGTCTGCTTCACATAATCACTGTTGGTGGACGACTGCATTAACCCTAACCTCCCCAAATCCTCCAAAATCCTCTTTGCAAAATGGAGGATTTTGGAGGATTTTGCAGGATTGAGGCTGTTTAATTGGCAAAAATGTGTGGCTGATTTTGCAGGATGCAGTGTGTCAAGGTCTTGGGCCGGGCCTTGTGTTTGTTTATGCTCAGCTGTGCATAAATTATACTTGAAGTCCTCCGCACTGCTCCAGGATGTCACTGGCTCTGCCTCAACATATTGACAGTGATTGCTGGAGGATTTTGTAGGATTGAGGCAGTGATCATTCTTCCAAGGATCACATTCAAGAAATAACGGAGGATTTTGCAGGATTGAGGCTGCATGCAATTTTGACATGGAGGCAGTTGGAGGATTTTGCAGCATCATCGCAAAAATGCCCAGGGAGTTAGGGTTAAGAATGACTTTAAACAATTTTGTATTTGTTGTGTAGGTAGTTTACTATTCATAATCACCCTTGGAGGACGACTGCATTAAGGAGTGCATCAGAATTATAAAATCACAGATGTCAGATGTAACAGGGACAGGAAAAAAGTGGACCCCAAATTTATCGAATGACCCAAAGTACACAGGCATAAGTTACAACCCAAATCAACCAGTAATCGATCACTTGTCTTGTATCAATTTTTTTCCAGATTGGCCACAATTTGTGCTTGAATTTCCCCGCAGGTGGCTGTGCAACACAGTCCTGCTTCTATCAAAATCAAGCAAATTCTGTCAGATTCTGTAAGATGGAACTCACGTGATCTCCTTCAGATCTTTGTTCTTGAGATGATCCAGGGGATCCAGGAAGTTCTGTCTGACGTTCAGATCGAAGGCGCCCTTGACTTCAGAAAGTTGCCTCAGTGATTCTCCCATCCCGACCATCGCCGTAGCTGTATCCAAAAAATAACCAAAACAATTTTTTTTTAATGATACCTATAAAAAACAACATTTTATTGTTCTGTTGTTTCCACCAAAACTAAACAGCTGTGCTAAGTATACCCTGGGAGCTGAGATTGTCTATGAAATGCATGGTCTATGAAATGCATTATTAGACAAAGAAAAAAAAAACGGTTTCCCGTCTGCTTTTTTTTTCCTCCACCATGAGGTGAGGTATATGTTTTCATCGGCCTTGGTTTGTCTGTGAACAGGATAACTCAGGATAAATGCGGAGGCACAAGGCTCACATGAATCACGCACACCGGACTCCTTCGACCAAAACATTTGCGAGCCTCATCTTTAAGAACGCGTGCACGTAGTCGTGGCGCGACCTAAAAAATGGCCTCTAATTTTGTTCGCCGGATTACGCTATATGAGAATGTAATTTCCAGTAACCCTGGTTAACCCTTCTGTTAGTGAGCATAAGCCATGTCTGAATGACATGGCTACGGCTAACACTAGCCCACATGGGAAGTGGCTTCATCTGCTTCCATAGGTGCAACTAATGTATTAGCCGTAGCCACTTCATTCTGACGTGGCTTTATGCTTTTCCATTTTCCCTCATTTGTGCTTGAATTTCCCCGAACGTGGCTGTGCAACACAGTCCTGATTCTATCAGAATCAGTCAGATAATGGGTGATGTTAGATTTTGTAAGATGGAACTCACGTTGATCTCCTTCAGATCTTTGTTCTTGAGATGATCCAGGGGATCCAGGAAGTTCTGTCTGACGTTCAGATCGAAGGCGTCCTTGACTTCAGAAAGTTGCCTCAGTGATTCTTCCATCTCGACCATCGCCGTACCTGTATCCAAACAAAAACAAAAACATAACACAATCCATCTTTTTATAATACCTATAACAGGAAAGGTTTTATTGTCCTGTTGTTTCCATCAAAATGAGAAGAGTTGGGCTAGGTCAAAAAGTAAGTGTTCTTTCAGCAAAACGAAAACAATTCTCAAAGGGATGCATGTGAATTGTTTTCGTTTTGCTTAAATAACACGTACATCTCTTTGTGATCCATGGACAGAACTTTAAAATGGTGTTTGTGTTCAAAATTCTGTAACTTGAAAAGCAAATGAGTGATGTGAATGATTCTTGTGCTAAAACAAAGCTCATTGATTGGGCTTTCATGATCATAACCTAGATTTGGAAAGTGCTACAGGCAAAACTTCATTCAAAAATTGGTCCTGCCATTTGAGTTTTCGTCTTTTTTGACTCACCTGTATATTGCAAATGCATGCATTTATAAATAAAAAAAAATTAAAAATACAAAGTGGGTGCAAAAAAGGCAGCGGGAAGCTACGAGAAACTGGTTTATTTCTTTACTTGGCCTTGCATATATGAAGTGCTGGGCCCTACATAAATTACACAATACTCATGGATGATGGTACTATGTTGGTGGATTGGAACACTGATTAGAGCACCTTTTTGAGAGCTTTTTGATCAGTCTACCACAGAAGGAATGAGAATACATCTTGAAGCTTGCTCACCAAACATTGAATCTTCTCCTAATTCTCTGCCGTTCTTCAACATGACTTCTCCCAGGAATCCTACGGGTTGTTGAGGCTTGGTTCCTCCCTTGTTCTGACCACGGACTTTTCTCATGGCTCTGGAGACTGTTCAGGAAATACAATACGATTGATTAGGGTCAGCACACAAATAGAAGATCTATCTCTATTTGGTTTGTTTGAAGTGAATACTTAGACCCGAATCAAACCGGTGTTCTATAGTCACCCCAAATGAAATTATTCCAAAGGTTACAATTAAAGGTAATATACGACATTTGCAAACATCAACAAACAAAACTACCAAATTATCATGAAATACTTTACTTGACTGTAGGTGAATGACAGTCTCAGACATCCTGTGAAATCATGGCACCTGGTGTGCTGTCATTTTTAAGAAAAGTGGAATTTTTGTATTGATTTCAAAAGATGGTCGGCCGACCATCGTAGGAAGAAACTGATTTGTCCAAATAGTGCCCCAATTTACCCAATTTATTTAGTCCACATTTTTTTTGCAAGCGGTTACACATCCGTGAATGGATGCAAGCCAGCTAGTCTGGTTCCCTGAGCTCAGGGAACAACACAAGATCCGGCCCAAGACCTTGACACAGTGCATCCTCATAAATCAGGCACACATTTTTGCCATATAGCCTCAATCCTGCAAAAGCCTACATTTTGCAAATAGGATTTTGGAGGATTTGGGAAGGTTAGCATCAATGATGCTTCAATTTTGGTTCTTACCTGGATTGGGCTGAAGGTATTCTATTGTCTTGTTCACCAAATCATCCACTGTGTGACCTGCCACGTCAATTTTCTAATGAAATAAAAAATACATTACCCAAAGACAATGAGAAGAATTCAATCAGCATAAATAATCTCAAGCAATATTTACTAATACTACATGTGTTACAACTTTTTTCGCTATGGCAGGAGAGATTCATACCCTGGACTCCGTTGCGTGTACACAACAGAGTCCAACCTGGGCTAGGACTAGGGCTAAGTTACACTTACAGCAGACAGGGCTCTGGAGTGCTCTGAAACGTGCAAAACAAAACGGGCAAAGACAATGTCCTCAGTATTTCACCAACCAAGTTTGGAGACTCAATTCAATTTTCAAAGGAGATTTTTCTTCAATGTTTTGCACATGAGAGGGAAGTCAAGTGATTTCAAAATGGGACTAAATACTAGACTGGTACATGTCCAACCATCATGACCATATGGTCCAACTATTTGAAAAGACTGACCTCTTCATTCAGTGTCAATAGTCTGGTGGCTTGACTACGGAGAAATGTGTAGTAAATTGAGACTAGTTCCCGCTTCATGCCACATGTTTCTTTAATTCTTTTGGCATGGTTGATTGATGCAGTACTGAAGCTGTGTTGGACTGGTTGTTTCAGGTGCCAGTCTTTTTTCTTGCTTTGCATGTTTTCAATACCATAAGTTTTAGGACTCTCATACACAGTATTGAGAGTCCCAAATTTTCGGACTACACTTACAGTAGTCCGAGTAACTTGGACCATGCTTGGACCCAACTTATCGTCTTTTTAACATTCAGATTTCACCCTCAAAGTGGCTTCCCAATTACTAGATAGGCCACCTGAGGTACAAATAGACATCGATGATTAAAATGGTTGTACTGAAGTTTACTTACAATCCGGAAGAAAAGTGAAATTTCCCGTTCAATTCTGAGAGCTCCCCTCGTGATCATGAACACATTAAATTTCCGACTCGTGTTAATGTTTGAACGACGTGATGTAGTCTTCATGCCCAGCGTATATTCAATGGTCCCCATATCCCGAGTGCGATTCCGTTACCGAGGGCAAAGCATCGATTATGATAATGAGTAGACTGGATCTCGCTTGTGAACACAAGTGGATTTCAAATGGTATAAGACAATCGGGAACTAGCTTGAACTGGTTTCCGCCCATAAAAGCTGTCCTAGTTCCCGACTCTCTATTAGGCCAAAAAAAAAGAATATGACTCTGCCGTTTTCTTCATATCATCTCAATGAAGGACAGTCATTGCAAAAATGATGATAAGACATGAATCTAGAACTAAGAAACATTCCCAATTTCAATGTTAGGAAATACTTCAATTTTCTTGACTCACCATAGACTTTGTACCGCTGAAGTGACGTCAGGTTGCAACATTCTTTCCATGTCAGCTGCCCATTGGAGATCAACCTGCTATCTGTACTGCCATCAATTGCATCATATGCTGCATTCATTTGACTCTGTGTCTTGCATCACTGGCTGCTCATGGCATGCACGTCATCAATTTCTATTAAAAACCGTAGGATACAGGCAGAAAGGCACTCTTATTACATAAATAAAGCCATAGTGAGTTGCTATTTGCTGGACGTGTACTAAAGGACCCTAGCCCGAAAATTAGGGACTGTCCTAGCCCCATAAATGTGGCCTATTTACTGGACTGCCTCCGTAAACATAGGCCACACATCCACATGTACAAAAACGTGTCGACTTTGCCAAATTTAGATTTTCACATTTAGGCTTAGTTTGTAGGTTTTTTTTGCTTTAGAAGCATACTCACCCTCTTTATAGATAGCTTGAGTAACTCCAGCTGACATGCTCCATATTCATTCACATGTAACATGTGAATGAATATGGAGCATGTCAGCTGGAGTTACTCAATCTACTTTATAGGCTAGTCAGAAAGTGCTGCCTTTTTCAGATGTCTAATTTTTGTGAAATTTCATGTTGAAATTTTGATACGCAAACGTGTAAAAATGAATCTGGAAATTTCACGAAAAATATAGATCTGAAAAAGGCAGCACTTCCTGATTAGCCTATAAAGAGGGTGAGTATGCTTCTAAAGCAAAAAAACCTACAAAGTAAGCCTAAATGTGAAAATCAAAATTTGGCAAAGTCGACACGATTTTTGTACATGTGGATGTGTGGCCTATGTTTACGGAGGCAGTCCAGTAAATAGGTCACATTTATGGGGCTAGGTCTGTCCATGCAAACTCAAGTCAAAGTCATACTGACATTTTTTCCACCAGCCAAGCGCCAGCATACTAATGTAAGTCAGAATGAGACAAAACTATACGTTCACGTAAGTGTCTTACTATGCTGATCTTGAATAACTGCTGCTAAAGAATCTTGTATTTTTTTCTGAAATTTACCTTTCAAAACGAGTTTACTGTAGTTAAACGTGGATCACGTAGATATTTTCCCATTTGGTAAACTGGCGCCATCTGTCAACTGATAAAAGAACTGCGCCCTCTATTGATTCAATAATTAGCATCTTCTATTGATAAGATGAGTGGCGCCCTCTAGTGATCTTTCCCGTTTGGGGCGAACAAGTGGGGCGAGTTGGTAAGGGGCGAGTTAGTAACTGTATTGTCAGTAGAGGGCGCTGTTATGTTTTTCAATAGAGTGCGCTATTTATTGGATCACAAAATAGCTGTTTATGTATATCAATAGAGGGAGCTGTTCATATTTTCAACAGAGGGCGCTATATCGGACAAGTATAATGGCATAACCGGAATTAAGTGATCAGTTTAGAGTTGCTTGCCCGTGCTATTTTTTTTAGTTTTCACAATGAAAAATACATTTTGTTTTTACTTTTTTTTCTAGAATTACAAAAGCTTTGCACTTTGTAGTGAGACATCTATCGAAACGATCCGCCCACGTTTAATTATAGAATGTTGACCTTACCAAAATTTCGAACTATTTAAAGGGAAGATACAACATTTGCAAACATCAAAAAAACAAAATGATCAAATTATCACGAAATACCTTACTGAATTTTTAGGGACTGACAGTCTAAAGCATCCTTTGAAATTGTGGCTCCTGGTGTGCTGACATTTTCAAGAAAAACTGTATGTTTCCAACGCTGGTCGGCCGACCAGCGTTGGAGAAAACTGGCTTAAAAAAAAAAAACTATTCCTAATTTTTTATATTTAGTTATTCTGACTTTTCTTCGCAATTGATAACACAGCTGTGAAGGGGTACAAGCCAGTGCTAGACTGATTCCCTGACCTTACAATTCCCCAATGTGTATTAATTGCTCCATTTCATCTTAAGTGGGGTCAGGAACCAGACTACAAGAACATTGTTGGTTTTCTTGGTTTTTCCAGCATCTACAAGCCCAAAACGTGAAACAAGTCAGTTTAACAATATTTTCTATAACACACTTTTCCTCCAAATCCATTTATTTCTGAAAATTGCAGCAAAAGCAAATGTTGTACAATTCCCTTTAAGAGCCCAATCAATCCCGCGAATCTAAATTAGAAAGCTTATAAAAAAATTTCTCTGACGGCGTGAAACGTCCGACAGCGAAATAAAAAATCAAGAGGGTACATTGTTTAACCGAGTATAACAAACAATGCGGGTAGAGCTTCTTTAAAAGCCTGAACTTTTCACTGAAAAGAAACCGTGTAGTGTGCATGTGACTGTCGCAAAAAAATGACACCTTATTTTTAAAGGTCAATTAAAATGTTAACAGTATTTGGATTGATATGATGAAAGGTGATTTTAAGTGTAATGCTATAGTCTCATAAACAAACCAAATCCTTCATGGGCAATCATAGATATACTGTGCTGGACAAGCTATTTCAAAAATTAAGTAATGCATCGAATTGAATTGTGGCCAGATGACTGGTCATGACAAATAGACAAACAAGACAGAAGATTGAGACAAAATATTGTTTTTCTCCCCATCGGCAGTGTCCTCCGTCAACACGGAGAAAAACCTGGCTATAGGCTGCAGTCACAGTCCAAACAGAACATTTGCCTCACTTTTGCACAGAAATGATAGTCAAGCTGGACACGCTATCACAAAAATTAAGTGATGTATCGAATTGTATTGTGGCCAGATGATTGGTCATGACAAAGAGACAAAACAAGTCAGAAGACTGAGACAAAATATTGTTTTGCTTTCCCTCAACAGTGTCTTGTGTCGCAACACGGAGAAAAACTTGGCGATCGGATGCAGTCGCAGTCCAAACAGAACATTTGCCTCACTTTTGCACAGAAATGATAGTCAAGCTGGACACGCTATCACAAAAATTAAGTGATGCATCGATTTGAATTGTGGCCAGATGATTGGTCATGAAAAGCAGACAAACAAGACAGAAGAATCTGACACAACATTGTTTTGCTCTCCCACAACGTTGTCTTGTGTCGCAACACGTAGAAAAACCTGGCGATGGGCTGCAGACGCAGTCCAAACAGAACATTTGCCTCACTTTTGCACATAAATTATATTCCATCTGGACGTACACTCTATCTCAGAAATTAAGTGATGCATCGAATTGAATTTTAGCTAGATGACTGGTCATGACAAATGGACAAACAAGACAGAAGATCGAGACAAAATATTGTTTTTCTCAACATCAGCAGTGTCTTGCGTCAACACGGAGTAAAACTTGGCTATAGGCTGCAGTTGCAGATCCAACAGAGCAATTGCCTCACTCTTGCACAGAAATGATAGTCCAGCTGGACACGCTGTCTCAAAAAATTAAGTGATGCATCGAATTGTATTGTGGCCAAATGGCTGGTCATGACAAATAGACAAACAAGACAGAAGATTGAGACAAAGTATTGTTTTTCTCCCCATCAGCAGTGTCTTGCGTCAACACGGAGTAAAACTTGGCTATAGGCTGCAGTTGCAGATCCAACAGAGCAATTGCCTCACTCTTGCACAAAAACGATAGTTCATGTAGACACGCTATCTCAAAAAAATAAGAAACGCATTGAATTGAATTCTGGCTAGATGATTGGTCATGAAAAAAAGACAAAAAAGGTAGAAAATTGAGAATAAAAATTATCGTTTTCTCTGCCTCTACAGTGTAAACACAGTTATTGTATCAACTCAAGATAAACACATTGCATTGAAATGAAATTACCTCTAATATTTTTCCATGATATTTGACAAGAGCATCTTGAAAATTGACAGGAACCGCCAACGAATGAATGCAAAACAATTGAAGGAATTGGCATTGTGAGGACAATCCGTGTTATTTTTATCGTCAAGCATCAATTTCTTCCGAAAGAGGGCGCGCTAGACAAACACCGCTCACCGCGCACAGACTTCAGTCCACTATCTTGTTTCAATCTCGTTTTGTTCTTGTTCAACGAATTCCCATAAAAATATACTCCTGAATGTGATACATTATGACGAATTATTGGTCGGAATTTCACTAAAATACAATTTGCAAATTGTGACTTATCAACCGAACCATATAGTATTTTCTGTCATTTACGATATGTTCATTCGAACGTATTTTTCAGGTTTAACACACTAAATTGTTTCGCTCACATTATTTTTGTTCTTTGACAAATCCACTAGAAATTGTACTGGCGATCGTAACCCATTATGAACAATTACTCAACGAAATACTGAGTGAATACGTCCAGTGTTCCATGAGATATTGCCCGAACCATGAGTGTCTTCTTTTTATTCAATACCAGTTCGTGTTGACTCTGCGTGTAAGCAGTAGCGACCACTGTGCATGTGGTGCGCCCTCTATTGACAGATTAATCCGCTGGGTACAGCTGTCTCTGTGCGAGACAATCAGAAAGCTAAGAGCCTTGTTGGAAAGAGTTTGGGTAAAAAGAGGAAACAAAGGAACCTCTTGGAAATTTCTTTTCTTCTCGAAAAGGAGTTGTGACTTTTTTGCCATGAATGTTGCTTCATTTGGATAATATTTTTCAGGTATAAAACATTAAATTGTTTCGATTTCATTTTCTTTCTTGTTCTATGAATTTTGTACAAATCACTTTTTACTCAATACTATATAGTTGTACGTTAAGCATGACTGGCACCGCAAGCCTGTTAAATACTGCCAGACAAAATAGAGATTATCGGCGCCAATATAGTTTTTTGTAACACCGACAAAACTGCACTCCCAATTGAAGTCACGGTGTCCAGAAAATCGTCCTTACTATTAAACAAAAACACAATCACACATAATGTCACACGATAACTCAAAATTATTTGTTACATTGCATTGGAATTTTTCCTATAGAGGTTGAGCATGACAGTCAACACAAGCATGATAAATACTGAGAGAAAACACACAGATTATCGGCGGCAATATAATTTCAGTAACACGGACAAAGCCCATCCAAAGTGAAGTCACGGCCTCCAGAAAATCGTGACACCTACGCCACACGATTGCTCAAAAACTAGTTATTTTATGGGATTGAAATTTTGACTAGATGTAAAGTATGACTTGCAACATTTGCCTGTTAAATATTTAGAGAAAATCATGTGTTGTTTTGGAGTGATCATTTGGAGTTTGTGGTCATCATAGA